CCCCCCCCCCCCCCCCCCCCCCCCCCCCCCCCCCCCCCCCCCCCCCCCCCCCCCCCCCCCCCCCCCCCAACTTACGCCGCACATTCTGTTGTACTTGTGGTAGTCTTCGGGCTTCTGGATCATGTAGCGTCTGCGGACGAGCTTGTCGCGGTGGTTGTCGTCTTGCTTGTATGTGAAGAAGTCTGTCTTGCGCAGGAGCTTCTGCTCATGATACTTGAGCTTGCGGACCATCTTGGAGGATTCCTCAATCGGCGTTTCGCAGTGGCTATTGCAGGTGTTTCCCAAGGTTAATCGTCTAATTGAGAAAATGGAAAAAGATCCGTCAATGGATTTGGCGCAATTAATGACGGGGTATCGTAGTTTGGGTTTTGTTGAAAGAATCGGATCAAAATGCTCATCTCGATATTTTTTTGAGACTCGGAAAATTGGAAGAGAAAAAAAGGCGGAACTTCCAAAGCGGGGCACACACCAGCTAACGCGGAACAGTTTCCGTCCCGCCACACTCCACATTTTGCACAACACCAAATGATTTCGCATCACCAGCAAAAGAAGCTGCGGGATTCATCGCCAACCAATTCCTCTGCAAAGTATCCCAATCCGCCCGTCATGCCGCCCTTCCCGCCCTCCTGCGCCGTCCGCGGCCTCTCAGCCCGCGCATTCTCAACTTCAGCCTCAAAATGCGCTCCCCGCGATCCTCTCCTCCACCGCCCCTCCTCCAGCAGCAGCCTCCTCTCCATCAACAACAACCCCGGCCCTTCGCGATCCCCCGGCCAGCCCCCGCGCACGGCGGCGAACAATCCCGGCGACGTCGCTGCGAACTTGATGACGCGGTTCAAGCGCGACGGACAGATTACCCAGAGGAACAAGCAGGCGAACATTGAGCTGCTGCGGAACCAGAAGAACTCGAATGATTACTTGAGGCAGATGCCGCGGAGGTGGGATGCGGGAGATGTCTACTCGCCGCATGATATGAGCCCCGTGGAGATGCAGAAGTGGAGGAAGAGGTCGCCTCGTGGCGGAGATGTGATTGATGCGCTGGGAATTCGACCGTTGGACATGTACAAGGCATGTTTTCTTCTTTCTTCTTTGGTCTCTGAAAGAGAGGAGGGGGCAATTGGCTAACCTTGGGGGCGTTGTAGAACTTTTCTTTGATCCAGGAATTCTCTTCTACGTCTGGCCAGATCACGCACTCTTCTGGCACGAGCCTTCGGCCCGTTAACCAGCGCAAGATTGCCAAGATGATTCGCAGAGTGCAGGGCATGGGCTTGTACCCGACTATTCACGCTCACCCCGAGATGATTAGGGAACACTTTTTCCCTGAGAGAAGATAAGAGAGAGAGAGAGAAACTGAGAACGAAAAGCATTGGGGCCTGATTGGATGTTGTGTGAGTCGCCATCTATGGGTGTGGCTCCTTATGAATACTATATTTGCTCGTTTTTTTTTCTTTGCCGACTATGTGTACAATAGATGCTACCCCCCGTTATGTATAGATACATGTCATGATCATATTTCTCCATTGTTATACACTCCCTCTAGGCCTTCATGACCCGTTCTATTTTGAATTGGCACAGCGAGTACTCGTCCATGCGCCGTCCCACCTTGATCAGTTCCGCCCAAACATCGGGATATCGCCCCTTGGCCCATTCCTGGAACCCTTGCTGAAGAGGCTGTCCGGGCAGAGCATTGTATGCAATACCAAGGCTACAGGGATATATTAGCAACTGCGACAACTGGAAAATATCAAGTTGATTGAGGGCTTGTACTCACGTCATGGCATTTGGCTCTGACCCCACGACAGATGCCATCTTCATTATCAGTCCTCGAACCTCCTTCTCGTTGCCACTGCCGGCTATTGCGCCGACGTAGGCGTTGTAGACGCTCTGCGGTATTTCCAAATCCATCCTCTCCATCCTCTCCCAAACCTCGCGGGCTTGCTTATGCCCGCCCGTCTTCTTCTCCAGTGTCCAAAACATTGCCTCCAACGTTGCATATGAGGGCCCTTCCCTCGATTGAGTGATCTGGCCCCAGTAGTCTAGCGCTATCAAAGGCTGGCCGCAGCCGGCGTATGCCAGCATCAAAGCTGTGTATAATCTCGTCGATGGCTGTAGCGTGGTGTCCATCTTCAACATGTTGTGCACCATTTCCAGCCCGTCGTGGTCGGGATATCGGGCAATTCCCTCTAGACAAGTGATGTAGGTGTCCATTGTGGGATGGTATGACTTATTTCGGTGTGCGCGCATGTGTCCAAAGACATGTGAAGCCATGTCAGGGCGTCTCCTTTGGAAAAATGCATTCATCAGTTCCACGCGCCGTTCGAAGCTGGTGTCCTGGAAGAATTGATGGAGTAGCTGATACGCCCCCCATGCTCGGTTCGTGCTCGTGCTGGACTCGAGGCAGAAGGCGACAAATGCGTTTTGGATAACCTCTCGCTCCGATTCGCTGTACAAGAAGGAGTGAATTGAGAGGATATCCATGACATCGAAATGCTGGTCATTCTCTAAAAATCTCAAGCAGAGAGCTGCAACTGTGGCTGGCTCGAGCCGCATCTGGTCTTCTTCAACGGCCTCCAGCATGGATGAAATCAGCTTGAAATCCGGCAGTTTCTGGGCTGTCAGCGCGACCAGGTACTCGTTGACCATCTTGCGAAATTCGGCAAAGAGATGCGGCTTTGACTCGTTCGTCCAAGGCTGCATATGCCTAACTTGATTGTACGCCTCTCGTGCCTCCACCAAATTGTTAGTTCCGAGTCGTAAGCCGAGCAAGATTAAATGAGTTTCTCCATTCGGAGCCAGCCCTCTCTTTGCGGCGAGCGCGAGAATGTCATCGCCTAGTGCCTCGTCTCGCTGCGCAGAGGCAACTCTGAGAAGACTGTTGATTGTGCTAGTATCTGGTGATACCTCTCCTTTGCGGTCAACCATGTGTGACATTACAGTGTCTACCTCGGCAAGACTCTTTCCAGTAATGAGTATTCCCTCAAGTAGCACATTCCAGTGGTTCCTCCTTGGCTGCGATTCTCCAAGTTCGCGGAACAGACAAGTAGCCCATTCTTGAAGGTTGTTGCGCATGGCAAAAGCCGCCACCGTGCGATACGTTGGCGCTCGCGGTATGCCTCCCGATAGAGGCTTGCTGAACCAGTGCTTGGTCTCGGCGACACGATCTCGCTCGGCAAAGAATTCTACCATGACGGCTTGGATCTTCACATCATATGGCACTTTGTGATTCTCGGCATACTCGACCAACCCCACCAACTCGGCTTCACATCCCTCTCTTGCAAGACCCTGAGCAACGGTTTCGACTAGGTGGACTTCTTGGTTCTCTTGGTTCAGGTAAACCGCATATTCTGGCTGTTCCCATTTCTCGTATAACAACTGCAAAGCCTCGCGAGATCCACCATATAGACACATGGCCTTGACGAGGTAGACCCATTGTAATTCTACGGCATTAGGAGTCTTGGGATAGTCCCCCGATAGCCATATCGAGTGTAATGCTTTGGCGAAATCTAAATGATGCTGTGTTCGTTCGATTAAATCCTCTTGAAGCAGCATTTGCCTCGCCATCGTTAGGTCGGCAAGAGTAAGCGTTCTGACATCCTGCTTGGTTGGCACATCTGCCAGATACTCCAGCAACCGGCGACACTGCAGTGCCTGTGTGCTGTTCAGAGGCATGCGGGTGGCCAGTTTCGACTGCATAAACTTCTTCCAAGACTCGATCAACTCCTTCCGCGGCGGTGGCCTGACGTTGTCCAGCATGCGACTCCTCCAGACCATGATTTGCAGCCATCCCGGCTCGTACTCGGGCGGCCTGACCTCCCGCGGAGGCTTCTGGAATAGCCCGCTGAAAAACGTGCGCTCTAGATTGGCATAGGATACTGGCCTCGGAGCAATCGGACGTCGACGAGCTGGAGTCGCATATACGGCGCAGGATGGCGCCGTCCTCGCCTGGCAGACAAGGAGTCGCCTGCCATGACGGGCCAGGTTTGCCCTCATGGTGTGAATATCTCTATGTTTTGATGCGCCTGGGCACTGTCAGACGTCAATTGGCGCATGGAAGGCTTTCAGATGCTCACTGGATCATGTTTGAGACAGACGGATTGCACAGATTGCGCAAAGGCAGCCGATTCCACCACGTCTATTGAAGCTACAAACTCCATCGAGTTGTTAACAGGCATTTGCAGGACGCAGGTTGCGCAGGTATTTTGCCGTGGTTTCTCCGGCGGCGTTCGTTATCCGTTATCAGCACTCTGTTTTACAGCCATTGATTTGGTTCCTGGAATCCCCCACCCTGAAGAGTTCAGAAGCTCGTTGAACTTGACTCATTTAGCCATGCACACGTTCAACTGGATTTATTTGAGCCCCGTACTTCAAGTACGGATCTGCATGTATACCTGGAGCTTTCGTATGTGACCATGCAGGATGCGAGGAAGTACCAAATAGGCAAGCATATCAGTCATCACCAATCGCGAACTCTTCCATCCTAAGAACCCGGCAGTAACCGGTACTATTTCCATGGACTCAACACATGAGTATTTCCATTTCCCGCCTTTGATTGCATATCCCGCTTTTGAACGGAAGTTTCAGTTGTTACCCTACGTGGCCTTGTTCCTCATTTGGCTATATTTCTGATTCATCATTTCCAAGTAACATCTCGTCAATGTCCTAAGTCCGGCCCTCTGGAGACGACTGCCATGCCGAAATGTTTTGCGAGAAACTCTCAATAGGTATGAAGGACAGGATAGTCTAGCCGCGTAGAATGCTGTGCTTGAACCATCCGCGGCTATTGTTTCCTCCTGTAGCTTAGTATATTCGTGCGGATGTTGTTGCCGCCAGCTGCGTGTGTTTGTCAGCACGTTATCTGCGATCGTAGTGTGCGGACTTAGCGCGGCGCTGAGACTTTATTGGCTTTTCAAGTTTGAAAGTCCAAGTATGCGATTTCGGAGATGTCGCGAGTCGTTTGATCGGACTTTGTGGGATCGGTGAGGGGGGTTCTGTGAGCTGGCTTACACAGCTGCCACCATACCCTTTTTCCGTATCGATGGTTGCGAGCAATGACGTCTGTGAGCTGTCCACTTTCCAGGGATAGCATGTGTGTAACTGTGCCAAAGTGGGATAGACCAACTGCTAGGTCTTGATTGCGATATTTGAGTCGATGAAGTCGGAGTCGGGACCCAGTTCTAGTTCACCCCCGGATCTAATACGCCGTATCTGCGTACTTGGATCCGGGACCCCTCTCGCCTATATATCGTGGTAGATGCCCTCCCCTCATCTCAGGCTGGCCAACAACAACCAACAAGTTAATCCAGTAAAAAGCCCAGATGCCTCTCATTGCTCAAGCTCCCAAGCCCCGAGTTATCCTCGGTCTCATGACGTTTGGCCCCAACGAGAATGACGGCGCCAGAATCACCGATGTGGACACTTTCAACAAGGCTCTTGACGTCCTGCAGGCTCGGGGCTATAATGAGGTCGACACAGCGCGAGTCTACGTTGGTGGTACCCAAGAAGACTTCACACGCCAGGCCAACTGGAAAAAGAGAGGCCTCACCTTGGCGACCAAGGTCAAGTACCCTCGGCAGCTTGGCGAGAACACAGCCGAAAAGGTCATCGAGTCCGTCGAGAAGAGCCTGAAGGAGCTAGAAACCGACTCGGTCGATGTGAGTCCATGATATGATTAAGCTGAAAGGAGACACTCAGCGTAGAATAATCTTGTTAACCGTCGCGACGCAGATTCTGTATCTTCACAGGCCTGACCGTGGAGTCCCCTTTGCTGAAACCCTCGAGGCTGTTGACCGTCTCCACAAGGCCGGAAAATTCAACAAGCTGGGTATCAGCAACTTTACAGCCTTTGAGGTAGCCGAGGTCGTCATGACGTGCAAATACAACGGCTGGGTCCGTCCCACCATCTACCAGGGCATGTACAATGCCATCACTCGAAACATTGAGGCGGAGCTGTTTGTTGCATGCCGCCGCTACGGCCTCGATATTGTCGTCTACAACCCCCTTGCAGGCGGCCTGTTCTCAGGAAAGATCAAGTCCAAGGATATCCTCCCGGAAACCGGACGATACTCTGGCAACACGGCCATGGCAAGCCTCTACCGCAGCAGATACTTCCGCGACAGCACCTTTGAGTCGTTGAAGCTTGTCGAGGAAGCCGCTGAAAAGGCAGGACTGACGCTGGTTGAGATTGCGATGCGTTGGACTGTTCACCACTCCGGTCTCAAGGTCAAGGACGGAAACGACGGCATCATCATTGGTGTCTCTAGCATCGAGCAGTTGGAGAACAACCTGGACAACGTTGAGAAGGGCCCGCTACCCGAGGAGGTTGTGAAGGCGCTGGACGAAGCGTGGGCCATCTCCAAGCCGGAGTCCACCAATTACTGGCATGGCGACTTGGAATATACATATGACCCTGTTGAGGTCTTGTTTGGTGAGGGAGCGAAATAAAAGCTGGGTGGGGGCAGCGGCCTTATGTGAATGTCAGATGACTGGGCCATGCGCAAGCAATATGAAGACACGTTCAACGCTATACAACCCGAATTTCATGTTGGGTCAATACTAGGTACCCAATAAAACATATCATATGACGAAACTTGAGTCTTTTGAGTTGGTAATCCCATCGGCGGCCACGGACCCCGTATGTCTTCCATGTTCTCTCTCATTGCTTCTGCTGCTTCCCGAGTCTGTAGTACCTTGAGCACAGTACGGAAACATTGCATGTAAACCATGGATTTGTATTACCTCCCCAGCAAGTATTCACCCGTTTTCACATTCAGCCTCAACTGCTACACTGCTTGGGCACGTCATCCACCAAGTCCGTATAGGCTGCGTTCTTGTCCGTGTGATGGGACCATCAGCTGGTTACAGTGCAGCCCTGACAGGTTCCAGTGCGACGCTAGAAAACGGAATCCAATAGCACGCCCCGGAGGATTTTGGGGGTCCCTCAGGGGGCCTCCTTAGTGGCCGCCCGTAAGGCAGAGCCTGGCCTGGGGTTTACAGTCTACAGGCACCGTCAGCACCATCTGATGACGGCATCCTTTTCTCTCGAGTTCACCTCCCATTCATTTTGTGAAACCCGTCGCATCTCACCATTGCCAAGCCCAAGGATCTGCGCTAGACCTGCCAATTACCTACCAGCGAGGATCCGAATCTCCGGAGCACGGAGGCGTGGGTTTTCTCGTCAGTCAAGACAGCTGTCTACAAGCTAAACTCCCGACTTTGCGCTCCTTTCGCCCATCTCGCTCGAGATAGCCACATGCTCCCGCAACAGCCAACGTCTCCGCGACGCTCGCGCCAAACGAAACACTGCTGGCGGCCATCGCCCCAATACGAGCCATCCGAACGACGTTTTCGCTCCTGAGAGAGAGACGACGGGAGCAGAACCACCAATCAATCATTTCCCAAACGTGACTGCGACGGAAACGGCGACGATCTGTGCCCTCTTGGACGCAAATCATGGGCTCGGATAATCTTCGACCCGGCCTCTTTCGTGAGACGACGGCTGACGGCCGATCCAGCGAGCCCCTGCTGTCGAAGCCCGACTCGGAAGGGCGAGACTTGGACGACAAGGACGTCGAGAGAGGCCGATCCTCGCGATCCTCGGGCGACGGACTCTCTGGCGCGTCCAACTCTGCCTCTGCCTCTGCCTCTGCCTCTGCCTCTGGGCCTCTGTACTCGTACTCGTACGACTCCCCCGCGCCCCGACCGGCCATGACACGACGCTCGACGATGCGCAGCCGCAGCCCCGGCCAATTGGCCGCCTCGTCGGCTCGCAAGAAGTACACGTACGCCGCCTTCTTCCTGGTGCTGAGCCTGGTTGCCTTTTGCGTGCAGACGGAGCTGAGCGCCTACATCCAGGGCGACCTGGGCTGGGACAAGGCCTACTGCATGATGTTCTTCACGCACAGCTCGTGGGTGCTGATGTGGCCGGCCCAGCTGCTCATCCTGCGGCTGCAGAAGCGGGATATGCCGTGGCCGGCCTTTTGGAGGCGCCACCTGCAGCTGGTCAGGTCGACGGCGCTCATGGTCGAGCTGCAGACGCTCGACGTCTTTGGCCTGCAGCGGCCCGCGTCCAAGTCTGTCCGCTACCTGGCCCGCACCACGGCCTTTATCACGACGGCTCTGACCGTGGCCGGCTTGAGCTGGTATGTCGCCGTCAGCCTCACCACGCCATCCGACCTCACCGCCATTTACAACTGCTCTGCCTTCTTTGCCTACGCCTTCTCCGTGCCTCTGCTCAAGGAGCCGCTGCGCATGGACAAGTCGGTTGCCGTCATCATCGCCATCGTTGGCGTCCTAGTGGTGGCCTATGGCGATACCGGCTCTGGCCCCTCGTCTGCCGACGGCCAGAGCCAGAGCCAGGGCGAGGGCGAGGGCGACGTGGATGCCGGCAGCCGCTTCCTGGGCAACATTGTCATTGGCATTGGCTCCGTGCTCTACGGCCTGTACGAAGTCTTGTACAAGCGGTTTGCCTGCCCTCCCGACGGCTGCTCCCCTGGCCGGGGCATGATTTTCGCAAACACGTTTGGCTCTTGCATTGGCCTCTTCACCATCTCCGTGCTTTGGATCCCCCTCCCCATCCTGCACTGGCTCCGGTGGGAGATTTTCGAGATTCCCAACGCCTCGACGTGCTGGCTCATCCTGTTTGCTGTCCTTTCCAACGCCACCTTTAGCGCGTCGTTCCTCATCCTCATCTCGCTGACGTCGCCCGTGCTCTCCTCCGTCGCTGCCCTTCTGACCATCTTCATCGTTGCCATTGCGGACTGGTTCATCACGGGCCAACCGTTGAGCCCGGCGGCCGTGATTGGCGGCTCCATGATCATCGTCGCTTTCGGGGCGCTCAGCTGGAGCACGTACCGCGAGATGATGGAGCTTGAGATGGAGAAGCGGAGGGTGGATCTGGCTGACAGCGATGAGGACGGCGACTTGAGCAGCCATGAAGACTGAGTTGAATGTTTTGCAAAGGTATGCGTTGTCGTTATTTTATGAGCATATTTCCTCATTTAGACGGATATATACAGACCGGTTTAGAGGCGTTTGTGTATGCATAGTGGGATTAACATATATACATACTTGGTATGCTGCGTATGCATGCTTATTGTTTTGGAGCTGATTACATGTAGTATTACTGCAGAGCAGTATAACTATCAGCATGGTGGAATGAATATCATTTCCTTTGGGCTATACTGTACAGCGGTGGAGGCGTTGGTGTCTCCCCGGCCTCGGACCGGACATGTTCTTAAAGGTTTCTCTTGGAATAATCAATATTACAAGATATTGATAAAAAACAAAGTGCTTATTCGTGCATGTGCTTCACAATTAATCACAATATATGATGCCGGAAGACGCCGACGGAGCCGATGGTCCCGCACAGCTCCGATGACCCCCTTTCTGATGCCTGTCAAAAATCACATGTAATTTTTCCTCAATAAATGTCCCAATATAGAAATATCCGTTGCTTTTTTGGTATCCTTTGCAATCTTGAAGCCTTCCCATATCCAATGCCCGTGCGAATTACCCAATGAATACCTCATGTCCCATATCCTGCAGATAAATACCCGTAATGACCCAAAACCCAGTCCGACCGTGATGACCTGGAAACCCATTCCGACAAACTACCTATGCTAAAGCTATGCAATAATTATTCAACAAATACCTTGACGATCCCAAGGAAAAAAAAAACCTAGAGAAAAAAAGAAAAAGGACAAAACAATCGTCGTGGAGTGTCCTAAAGAACCGCCATGGGCACTTTGTCGTTCCTCCGGACGAATTTACCCTCTCCGGCAACCTTCCAAGTTGCGCCCGCGGCGAATATCACATATCTTACTGCCTGTTCCCAAGCCTCCCTGTCCACGGCATCGCCAGACTCAAAGTATTGCAGGCTGCTCCATGAGCCTAGGGGAGGTGGGTCGAAGATGGCCATGACGAGCTGCGCGTAGGCCGTGTTTCGCTCCATCCACAGATCTGAAATGTCCATGGCGGGATGGCGGTAGTCGTCCTCGGCAAAGCTGGGTGCTCGGGGAACGATCTGGATGTAGAATCGTTCAAGAGCTGGGACGCGGGGGATCAGGACATCGTTTATATGCGTGGCGAGCGGGAAGATGGCGACGTAGGAAAGGGAGCGGAGGGAGTTGCGTAGAAGATATTGCATGGATTCATCCCCGGAATCCAGTAACGCGGGTAAGATGGAGGGGGGCACGTGGTTGAAGTATTCGTATGTTGCGTAGACTTTAACTGAGGACCCTTCGTTGAGGAGCATTGAATCCCACGGACGAATGCTGAAGAGGGAGCAAGGAACGGTTGTTTGTGCCCTGTTGCCAAATGGGGTGTTTGCCAGTGCCGTCGCGTTGTTCCATAGAGTGGCGACTTGGTGACGTGTGTCGGCTGGTCTGGAAAGGGAGAGAATGTGGAATCGCTGGCGGAAGATCCAGCACCCTGATAAATTGATCGGTCGACCCAGTAGCGATGCGAGAATGGCGGGAGAGCTGATGAGGTTGATGGTCAAGAGATCTAGGTGCTCGAAGATGGTCTGCCAAAGCCAATTGTTGGACTGGCATTTGGAGTTGCTGTCATAGGATGGCCCGGCGGCAGCTAGATCTCCGCCTGGTCCTTGGTGGATCGGCGCAGGGCAATGGCTGGGGAGGATGCCCCAACTGGCGTGGTGGTTGAAGTCTTCTCCGATCTCGGTCACGGGATAATCGATGATGATGCTGAGGCTGTCGACGTATCGTGCAAGTCCAGTCATGGCGAGGAAGCGTAGAAACTCGAGCTCGTCAACGGTGCTGAGCGGATCCTCGCCATTGGATGGACGAGTCATGTGCTGAAATCTCCAGACGACATTTCGAAAGAGCAGAGGTAGGGTGCAGCGTCTCCAGAGGCGGCAGACCAGAGAAGCGCTTTTGATGGTGCCACGGAAGGAATCAGACGAGGGCACATCATCGGGGCCCGGGATGTGTGCTGGATCATCGTATTGATACCGCTCAAAGATGGAGGGTTCGTCGAGGAAGTTGAGGATGTAGGAGACGAGCTCATTGGGGAGCTGAGATATGGTCATGGGAGAAGCCATGGAAGGCAAGGAGGTGAGGTGATAGTAGCGGCGACAATGGATGGCGAAGGCGATTACGATGCCAGGGTGATGCTTTAAATAAGGTATAGTAGCTATTTTGAGGACGGTGGTCAGGTGGCGATGACGGCGGGGGATGGCGAGGGTTGATCAATGGGTGACGGCGGTGCTGACGATGATTCCAAGTGATGGCAATGGGCGATGTTTGATGGTGGTGATGGTGATGGTGATGGTGATGGTGATGATAATGATGATGATGATGGTCGAGGGTTCGAGCAGTCAAAAAGCTTTTTCGAGGTGCCAATGTACTCGTACCCAAGTCAAAGTCAGGCGCACAAGGGACCGAAAAGTCAATGGGCTGAATCAAACAAGTACAAGTACTGTACAGATAACCGGCCTGGCGAGGCATGCGGCATGCGGCATGGGCATGGGCATGGGCATGGGGGGGCAGAGAGTGTCGACATTACATTAGCCCGCCGTACCGGTACATTAGCCCGGCAGTAGCTCGAGGCAATCCTTTCGAGGGGGCCTCGATTCCCCGCAGAAGCGCCAAATGGCGACAATGGGCCGCCGATTGTAGCGGGGAAAAGCGTTGATGGAGCCTGAAGAATGCGACGCTGTTGGGCTGCTGGGCGTATGACGTGGGCTGAGCGGTGCATGCGGACAGAAGCGCTGAGGTAGCGGTACATGTGTGGCCGGTGCGTACAGGGCACAGATAGGCACAGCTGACTGCTGCTGTCAATGTGCGGCTTACAAGATGCGTCGACGATGATGCTTGGACTCGCTCGCAACTTGATGCTGCCTCGTCCCATCTACTAACCAAGGCACCCCTTTTATCCTCTCTCTCTTTCGCCCTCTGCAGGTCGATGCGGATCCTTATTCGCCGTTTGCGAGCCCGGCAAGGGGCCTGCCTTAGTGCTATAGGTTCGTCGCACTTAGTTTCGCTCTGCTGTATCAGATCTCAGATCTTGTTATGCAGCCCTGGTCCGGTCTGGGTTACTGCGCATTAAGGTAATCCAATGCGATGCATGGCCTCAACTGGGCTCGCCCTTACGTACAGGTACGAGCAGGTTACAGTACAGCAACAGTATTGAGGCATTAGAGGGGGCGAAAGACAAAACAAGGTCAATAATAACGATGAGTGGGCTACCAGTCTATGTACTGTAACCGGGCATACGGCGGCTGCAACTTGGAGCGGCGCGTATTTCCGTCTCGGAGACAAGTGCCGCCAATGGATCTGATAAGGACAAGGTGCGGATCAAAGGGGACAAGAAACGGTCACCGGAATCGACTGATAGGTTCCATAGCAAGGAGACAAAGAGACATGGAAGTGGAAAAAAAAAAAAGGGCTGCGCTTGGGTTTCCCCTCTCGGCCGTGGCAGCCGCAGCACTGCACGGGCCAGGCCCGAAACGCGGGCCATTTAAAGCCTAAAAGCCTTTGATGCTCGGGCTTTCTCTGGATGGTTGCATTTGCATGTGCAAGTGCATGTGGCTAACAAAATCTCGACTTCAAGATGGATGTGTGTTGGGTGCTCGAGTTGGCCATGTTGGGGCGTAATGGGAGCCGCCGACATGTGAGGCAACGTTTCGTGCAGCCAGCCATAGATGGGAGAAGAGAGGAGAGAAGGGGGATTTTGCGAGAGAAAAAAAGAAAAACAGAAGAGAGCTTGAGCAAGGTCAGGCCAGGTGCCCTTTCGGAAACAATTTCGGGACTTTTGCTTCGATCGAGAGATCTACGCAACGAGTATGGTGGTAGTAGTCATCGCGGCAGTGAAGGTGTGGTCAATACAGGTATTTTCAGCAACACCCCCTGGGCTGAGCTGGGCTGTGTCAAAGAACCTGGTCAGAAATTGAACCGTTTGAACACGGACGCCACCTGCCAATATAGGTGCCAAGATGGAGATGCAACTGTAGAGTTGAGTTTGGAAAAGATTGATCATGGAATAGGTACCTAGGTAGTTATTGACGGCATAGGTACCTTACGCTTCATTTACTTGTACTCGCAGCAGTACCAGTTCAGTTGGAGCTGTACGTGTACTGATACCTTGACAAGTTCGAGCCGAGTCGAGTCGAGATTCTTCATCTCCACACAATCAACTGCCAAAACAGCTTCGGTTCCCGCGGCCCACAGACAGCCGGCCTGCCTAGGGCTGGACCTCGAGGTGGGCCGCCATCGTGATCCGCCCGGCTGCTGATCGAGCTGGGCCTCTGCTTTGCTTGCCCTGTGCCTGCGCCTGTACTGTACGAGTATGTGCACTACATTCACACTTCGTCCAAGCACGGATCCTGGCCGTTGCGCGTTGTACGTGTATGTGCGAGTAGATGCTCGAATCTTCAGTGGGTTTCTCCTTAGGTAGGTACCCATCCGTCTCTCTCTCCGCAGACATTGATTTGATTCATCAACCTCTAGTCCCCTACTCTGCCTACTCCACACGCCATCCTCCGGCCTACCGCCGAATTGAATGATTTCTAACCCCTGAATGGCAATCGAGGCCACTAAAAGCCAACGGCACTGCACCACTGCACCAGCCGACCCCTTGCCCGGCTGCTGTCCGTCCTTGTCATTTATCAGTTTCGGATCAATCCATCCTGATTGGAAGCGCAGCTCTGCTAGTCTGGGTGACAGTTAGTCCGCCTCACTTCCAGATTGTGTGCGTGCCTTCGAGCAGTTTTCCAAGAGCGCCAATTGGACGTCCGCCGTTGCGCGCCTCACAGTCTATCGGCAGACCGCCCGTTTGCCAGATATGAGCTGTAATCTTCCGGATCGCTTCATCGACTTCCGCGTTTGAGCGCAATCTCGTCTAAAACGCCACAGCGTCTCCGTGGGATACATCGTCGACAGCTGGCTTGGAGTGGCGCGCTGCGTCCTCGTACATGGAATAATAATTTGCCCGGCTGTTAATCGCCCGCACCGTGATAACACCGAGATTGAGCTGCTTCTCCTGAGCGCAAAGATTTGCATCCTGCTAATGCGCACCTACCTAGGCAGCACTACTCGTCCGGTCTGATCGACCCGACACCCGGTTTCACCATTGCATTCTGCTCCTTGTCCGACTCGTGAGCAAATACTACTGTGCAGCATCGCCGGCTATGCTCGCACTGTCACTGTTATTGGCGCCGTCTCGAGGCTCCATCGTGCTTGTACGGAGTACCTATTCGTATATCACACCCGATGCTATCACGTGAAGACGGGCATCTGCATCCAATATTGAACGCAACCCTCTCCACGGAAACTGGAGCACATATACGAAGTACGAGCACCGCACATCGACGCAGCAGTGCCTAGATTTAATTAGGTAACGAATAATCAGGCAGCAATGGGACAAGGAGGTGACAATAGGCGAGTGAATGCCCTCCAAGGGTGCCTGCGGTTGCATTGGCATTGGCATCGTCGTTGGCGCCAAACGCCGTTGTGAACTAAAAATACCTGATCCTGATCCTAGACTTCTTGGTGTCCTTTCCTTGGGCAAAAAGAGCCTAGTGGAGCTGGCATGAAGAAACCGTGCTGCCAGTGAGTGCCGACGCTGCCGATGCCGTCGACGGGACTGGACTGACCGCATGTCCAAACGTCCATGTACCCGTACATCGCTTGTCTCCGGGCTGGGGATGGACAGTCGAAGCTGAAGCTGCAGAGCTGCTGTGGACGACAAGCGGTGGACAGGCATCCGAGAGACATCCCTCGTAGCTGTCGTTTACATGACTCATTGACACGTAGAGAAACATCACATGGAGGAAGTCGGTGAGAGTGAGCGGCTGAACGAACGAATGGAACGCTGCCGACAAAGACTGTCACATTCACACGTGAATCTCGATCCTGCATCATGCGCTATTGGCAATCAAGTATGGACTTCACAATCAAGATTGCGACTTGGGAACGCCCACGCCCGAGTCCGAGGTCAAGCTGTAGACATACCGCAAAGAGCGTGGAGGAGCTACCCAGCCGCCGATATGACTCTACAGAGTACCTCATCATCCATACAGGCGTACCTTCATAGTACTTCTTTTCCACTCGCGTCGCCCAAGCATGAATTTCTTCCACCTGTAGGGAGTACCAGGTACTCGTACTGTATCGAATGCCACCCCTACCTCGCACAATTCACCCCATGCATGTGGCTGGGATCTATTGGCATCACATGATACCTCGAGCCTGTGATCCAACTTTAACCATGGCCACCCTTGTCGCTTCTCTTTTGTCCTAGATAGCTTCCATAACCTTATCGAGATGATAATGTTGAATCCTTGTTAACGAACGAGTAAGAGCTATGGTTTGCCCCTTTATTTATTGTAAAGATGCTTTTGTCTGCCAAAGACCTTTGGTGGCCGTGTTGGAGAATCGGCGGTCATGGTATGAGTCCATGTGTGCATTAGGTAATGACATTTCCTTGACAAGAATCACGAGAGCGCCACTCATACCCAGTCTCTATCTAAAGCATCAAATTCAGTGTTCATGCCAGTGTAACGGCGGGCTTCACCTTGTGTTAGCTGGTGTCTTGTTTAGGTCAAAGATGGGTAGTTTCGGTTGCGAGATGGTATTCCGATGACCACTATGCCATGTATAAGAATGAAACATATGCCTAGAAGGGACAAAGATAAGAAAAAAATTCATCTGAATAATCCTGGAAGTACCTGATTCTATTTTCAGTCTCAATACATAGGTTGCCAGAATTGAGTTGATCGCTACCACCTGCAGTTGTGGATGACAACTTCGTCGACATCTAATATGATCAACTTTCAACTCGTCGCATAGACCCTAAAAAGCGACAATTGGCTCCGAGATAACTCAAATGTCAATATGTTCTCACAACACAGTCAATGAAAAATGGAAATGATTTTGAAAACTTCTGTATTCACCCACATGGCACTGACGCTGACCATTCTCTGAGCAAGTTTTCATAAATCAATCCTACGGACATAAGATCTCCGAGGATCCACCGCCCACACAATTTAGTTTCAACTGCGAGAATATCATCGCTACAACACTCCCCGCATTCCATCTCTCTGTGTCTCTATTGCATAAAATTATCATCATGGCAGAACAATCTCAAGCAGCTCAGCCGCCGCTGCGGATCGGCACCCGGAGATCAAACCTCGCTGTTGTGCAGGCTGAGGGCATCCGCGACAGCCTCAAGAGGATTGCACCCGAACGAACTTTTGAGATTGAGGCGCTTCACACTCTCGGTGACAAGGACAAATCCACGGAGCTTTACAACTTTGGAGCAAAGAACTTATGGACGGCCGAATTGGAGGAGAAGCTGAATGCCGGCGAACTGGATGTCGTCGTTCATTGTCTCAAAGGTAACCTCCGCTACCTTCAATGTTCACAAGGCTGCGATGCCTTCTTGCATCGGCCCCGCTGAGACTTTCTAACTGTCAAACAGATATGCCGACAAGGCTTCCTGACTCATGCGATCTGGCGGCCATTCCCCTACGTGATGACCCCCGTGACGCTCTGATTGTAAAGGCGGGCCTGCCGTATACCAGCCTCCAGACGCTACCTGAAGGCGCAGTTGTTGGCACTTCCTCAGTGCGGCGATCAGCACAGCTTCGCCGTCTCTACCCTCATCTCCGCTTTGCCAACATGCGCGGCAACGTGGAAACTCGGATAGCCAAGGTCGACAATCCGGAAGGTGAGTATACTTGCATGATCATGTCCGCTGCCGGTCTCGAGCGGGTTGGTCTCAAGCACCGCATCAACCAGTATCTGGGCTCCAAGGACGGCGGGATTTTCCACGCGGTTGGTCAGGGAGCGCTCGGCTTGGAGATTCGGAAGGGAGATATCAAGGTCTTGGAGCTATTGGACAAGCTGGCTGATGAAAAGTCTACTTTGGCTTGTCTTGCTGAGCGGTCTCTGTTGTATACTCTTGAGGGCGGTTGCACTGTCCCGATTGGAGTAGAGACGGAGTGGGCGGACGAGTCAAATCGTCTTCTGAGGATGAGAGCGATTGTGGTTAGCCTTGATGGTGCTCAAAGCGTTGAAGATTCCATCGATGCAGCTGTCAAGACCAATGACGAGGCTAGGAAGCTTGGACAGGAATTGGCTGAAAGGTTGGTCAAGGCGGGAGCGGATGCAATTCTGAAGGAGATCAATGCTACTCGGCCACCGAAAGATTGATGATATGATGGCTTCTTGTCTAGCATAGCAGCGTATAAACATGTATAGAATACCCCTCTCATAAAAGGCATACTGAGCATAGGTTAAACAGGTTCTAGTAACGTGATACTGTATAGAGATCTAAGTCTGTTGAATAATACTAGTAATTTTTTCTTAATTAGAAGAAGAGTTTATTATGATGCCTCACTACCAAAGAACAAGCAATTCACCAACAGTGTCTCTTCCATATGCTTAACCCTGGACACCAAAGGGGCCCAAATAGCCATAGTCGATGCGAGATGATTCCACCAAACTTTCGCAGTGCGAAGATGTGTACACATCCGCAGCTCCCAGCTTGCCCAGCCACTTTTCAGTAGTCACATTCGCACAATACTCCGTAAGAGCATCGACATATCCAGCAAATGATGCCCATGTATTGTTTGGATTAGCGGCCTGGATAGGCCCCAGAAGGGTACCAACTGAGAGCGGATTTGTTGCGTTAGGAGGGCTGTTGCTGAGAAGAATCGCCTTGCGGGCATTGTTGTATACGTCTTGCACGTATTCTTGTTGAATAAGAACATCTTTACGATCTCCGAGACGGTTAACGTGCCCCCCAATGTAGTATTTGAAGTCATACTCCAAGATTAGGTCGTGTGCTTTGACGAACATGCCGACATTTTGCGCTTCTGCTAGGTTTGCAAATGGTACCCAGCCAGGGAAGACGAGGTCGATGAGCATGAGGATCTTTTGCTTTGGCGCGTAGATGAATAGGTTTCCAGGGCAATGAACGGGACCATGGTAATCTAGCTGAAGAGTCTGGTTGTCGACGTGTAAGGTGTGGGAGCCCTTGAAAGTGACATGGGGCAGCGGCCGGGTTGGATCAGGTGTAATAGTGAGTTCGTACTCGGTCAATTCGTGGGCAACGATGGTAACACCCTTCTTGGCCAGAAGATATGCGGCTCCGATGTGGTCGGCATGGAAGTGGCTGTAGACAAGATGCGAGATTGGCAGGTGTGTTACTGATCGAATCGCGGCAAGGATATTTTCTCCCGTAGTGGGAGGTGCATCGACCATAATCACGCTTTTGGGAGTGACGAAGAACATCGACTGGTATATACCATCGGCGAGCAAATATGCTCCTCCTCCCAACGATTGCACACGGTATCCTTGGTCATTGATAGGAGGGCCATTGGCGGTTGAAGGCAGAGGAGCATATGTAATCACAGAGTGTGAGTGGGCGCGTGCAAGACATGACATGCCTAAGAAGAGAGATGCTAGTGAGAGACGCATCTTGGACAAGATCTAGTCTTGAGACTGTATGACTAGCGATTGTAGTTGTCTGCTGCGTAGTGTCTTCTCATGCCTCGTTGTTCCAAGACCCTATTGCATTCTTATACTTTGACACTCTTTGATGAATGACAAATAGGCCAACTGGCTACATGACTAAGTCAAAGATGTTGAACGCATCGCGGCATCCCTTTATGCATAATAGTTGTCTAATCTCTGACCATTTCTTACTAATGTTTGTCATTAATAGCCAGGGGGCGAAACAGAATCTAGATCTACAAAGCGATACGCGGGTGGATACAAAGCTTACCCCAAATGGCCGGTCACGATGTAAACATATACACAAGTCGTTAGAAGCTCTCCCTATTAGGCAAAGAGGCCTGCAGAGCAATATGAGTATGTAAGACGATGGTTGACCAATAGTTGAACCTCTATATATTTCTGACGCCCGGCTGTATAGTAATATAGGTTAAAGGTGGCATTGCCAACGAGGAGCTGAATGCGTTGGCAATATAAACAGAGCAACTAGAGCGACAAAATAATAGTTTGCATCCAATGAGCTTGCTGCTACGATACAAGTTTGCTGCGGGGTTGCGGCGAGACACAGCTCAATCGAGTATTAGATGGTCTAGACGTTACAGTGCATGGATCCTACGGATTCGATTAATATCTATTTGCTCTGGAGCTGTAGGTAGAGAAGGTATTTGCGGGATCGGAAAGCTTCCGAAAAACTCGGAATGGTGATACAACATGCTGACACACACTTTCAGTTAATAATACAAGTAAATAGGAGTAGGTCCTCATTTATACACAGGGTTGTAAATTAGTATTTAGTATTTAGTTACTAATTTAGTATTAGTATTAGTATTTAGTATTTTTAGTATTAGTTACT